TCGACACAAGGAACACAGGTAGGGGCAGGCCCCGGAGGAAGGGGAGGGAGGGACCGGGGGAGACCCGAGACAAGGGTATGGGAGGCCATACCTCAAAGACGAGGCAGGGAGGGGTGACTAAGGCGGTGGTGCCAGAGGAGAGTCTCGTGTGACAGAGGACGACACGAGCAGGGGGCCGACGCTGGACTAGACCTGGACGCGGCAGCAAACACCTGACCAGACGCGGCTACCTGACCAGACGCAGTAACCGGAGGAGACGCAGTAGTCAGTGTGTACAGACTCGACCCAGGCCGACGGGTGAACGTGGCCAGGTGGCGGCCCGTCCGAGAGCAAGTGCAGTGGGTCACACGCGGACCTCCAGGGGTGAACTGGTCATCCCACGCGTCCTGGAGGTCAGCTCCACTCACCAAGTTCGTAGAGAACGAGGGGAGGTGGAGTCCCGACAGCAAGCCCGACGGGGCCGCAGGACACGGTAGAACCGTGGAAGAGTGCGCAAGGACTGGGCCCCCAGAGGGGTCAGCCAGGGAGACTGCGACAGGCCGACTCAGCGGCGTGAGTGTGGTGGTGTCGCGAAAGAAGGAGCGCGAAGCACCAGAGTCAAGTGTGAAGGTGTGCAAGGCCTCAGTAGGCGCAGTACCAGAGAGAGCAGGCTCACCAGCACCTGGAGCAGCAGACTCACTAGTACCTGGAGCAGCAGACTCACCAGTACCTAAAGCAGCAGACGCACTAGCACCTAGAGCAGCAACCTCAATGCCCGGGTCGGGCGGAACACACAGGTAACAGTCACCCTCAGCACTATCAGTCACAGCATACATGGCAGCAAGGATAGCATCGAAATCAAGATCAAAGATAGCAACATTCTGCCTAAGCAGATCACCCCAGCGAGGGAGCTCAACAGCGTCAGGAAACTGGGCGCGCCAGGCGTCAGTCAGGCGACCGAAGCAGCGCTGCGCAGTATGTGGTAGCCCGCACGTCTCCCCACGGCGCCCGCCGGTGCGAAGAACGTAAGTGCAGGGACCAACACCCCCAGACCTCCCACGCCCAGCGTACCACTCACGAAGCTGCTGGGTCGACGGGGTCTCACGGGAACGCGGCTGCTGCTGGCGCTGGCTACCACCAAAGCCTCCACGCTGCGCGACTCCACCTCGACCAGCACCACCGCCGCCGCCACCTCCACCACCGCTGCCGCTGCCTCCACCGCCACTGCCGCTGCCTCCACCACCCCCACCGCCGCCACCGAAGCCCCCACTCCCGCTACCACCCCCACCTCCACCGCCACCCCCTCCGCCTCCTCCACCACCTCCACCTCCGCCCCCACCGTCCCCTCCACCACTCTTGCCCCCCTTGCCCTTGCTGTTGCGGGGCCTCCCACTAGGAGCAGACGCAGCCCTGACCTCCGCAGTGCCAACGAGGTCGACAGCAGCAGCAGAAGCAACAGAGGGGAGAAGGGGGACAGAGGAATACCCCTCAAAGAAAGGGGCGCGAGGGTTGCCGCGAGAAGCACCTATAGCTAAGATACTCTTCTCAGCTACAGTGAGGCGCTCCTCTAGCAGGTCGACGGTGAGCTCGGTGGGGCAAAGGGAGAGAAAGTGGTCCCTGACTGAAGCAAGGGAGTCAGGGAGGCGGGTGACTTGGTAGTAAAGGGTGATGTACATGGGGGGGGGGGGTTCTTGGCACAGAACTCAGTGGGAAGCGCAGCTCGGTAGCGGGCGTCACTAGTGCGGAGGTGAGTAATCAGCTACTGTGGCAAAAGCGGCAAGGTCAGGGAACAGGTACGGCAGCATGAGGCGGCTGAGGGCAGCAGTGGCAGGGGAGGAGTAGCGCGCTACTACAGCGTCATACAAAGACTGAGCAGTCTTGTACTGGCCAAAGTGCGCGCGCTCAGCAGACGGCAGGTGACTACGAACAGCAAGGCGAGCAGCAGCATCAGGAGTGGTCCACTGCGAGCGAACCGTACTGTCAGCAGTGGCAGCAGGAGCAGTAAAGACACCGGACGTGTGATCGAAAAGGGATACCCCATCCCTAGAGTCACACTGAAGAAAGAGCTGCAGGTCGTCAATCCACACGTCAAAGTCAACTGCACGCCCCTCAGCATCAAAGGTAAGAACAGTAGGGCTAGCCATAGCGGCAGTAGCAGTAGGAATAGCAGTAGCAGCAGTGGCAGCAGAAGCAGCAGTAGCTGCAGGAGCAGCGCAGGCAGGGCAGTGCGGCTCAGTAGGGCGGCGCGGCTCGGCAGGGCGGCGCGGCTCGGTAGGGCGGCGCGGCTCGGCAGGGCGGCGCGGCTCGGCTGGGCGGCGCGGCTCGGCTGGGCGGCGCGGCTCGGCTTGGCGGCGCGGCTCAGGTCCTGGCGGCGCGGCGCGGCAGGGCAGCGCGGGTGCTTACCAGGGGCGGGTGCAGGGCAGGGCCACAGCTGGCGGTTTAGGTCAGGGCCGCGACTGGGGCGGCAGCAGGGCAGGTCCGCGACAGGGCGGCAAAGGCAGGGCTGCGACGAGCGGCGACGGGCCAGCGACGGGCGGCTACGGGCCGGCGACGGGCGGCAACGGGCCGGGACGGGCCAGCGACGGGCGGCGAAAGGCAGGGCCGCGACAGGGCGGCTGCAGGGCAGGGCCGCAGTGGGCGGCGAAGGCAGGGCCGCGACGAGCGGCAACGGGCCAGCGACGGGCGGCGATGGGCGGCGACGGGCCGGGACGGGCCGGGACGGGCTAGCGGCGGGCGGCAAAGGCAGGGCCGCGACGGGCCGTACTAGGGCAGGGCGCGCGACGGCGCAGGTGAGGCAGGTGCGAGGCGCGCTTCGGGCAGGGCAGGAAAAAAAATCGTGGTGGGCCCTAAAAAAAAAACCGTTCCCACTAGGGAACCTGCTCAGAATACCATGTCAGAATCGTGAAGGAATGAATGACTGAACTAGCAAGCATGTGGGTACAAGTAGGAAACCTAAAAGTGTTGTACCCTATATGAACTACCCTACTACAGCCTAAACAGACTATAGCATATAAGTTTGACACTATTACTACAGGAGGCACACGACGGGGTTACCTCAGGACATTTCAGGGTAGAGAAAACACGGCAGCAGCTGCAGCGGTGTTACTACTGGCCCGAAATGCTGACCGATGTGCAACGACATGTGGCATCGTGTCCCACCTGCCAACTCATGAAGTCATCACGGAAACGATCGGCAGGGCAGTTGCAGCCGATACCACCCCCAGAGCGTGCTTGGCAGCAGGTGACAATGGACTTCGTCACGGGGTTACCAGCTGGAGCAAGTGGGAACGATGCGATCCTGGTCGTCGTCGATCGGCTGACGAAAATGGCACATTTCGCAGCCTGCAAAAAATCAATCACAGCCGAAGAAACAGCCCGCCTCTTCATCTCCACCGTCGTTCGACTACACGGGATACCAGCATCGATCATCAGCTACCGCGATACAAAGTTCACCAGCAACTTCTGGGGGAACCTGTGGCAGCAGTTTGGCATGCGACTACAGTTCAGTTCTTCATACCACCCCGAGACTGACGGACAGACAGAACGGACAAACCAGACCATGGAGCAACTCATCCGAGCCACGTGCGACGACCGGAACACTTGGGAACAGCAACTGCCACTCATCGAGTTCGCGTACAACAACTCGCCATCCGCCACGACCCAACAGTCAGCATTTTACCTGAACTACGGACAAGACCCCACAGTACCCATGACTGCGAATCCCGACGACCTAGTGCCACGCGCGCAACAGTTAGCAGAAATTTTACAAGCAGCACGGACCCGAGCAGCAGACGCAATAAAAAAATCGAACATCATCGCTAAGCGTAACGCCAACCGCCACCGCCGACCCGTCACTTACCAGCCCGACGACCTCGTGCTACTCGATGCTCAAAACCTCCGCCTGCCCATCACCCCAAAACCCCGCCCCCGATATTGCGGGCCATTTCGCATCAGCCACATGATCACACTCGTCACCGCCCACCTCCTCCTCCCTGCTGACTGGTACGTCAGCCCGTCATTCCACGTCAGCCTGCTTCTCCCATACATACCATCCACCAGCCAATTGCCTCGCAACCGCCCCGCCAGGATGAAACGACCGCCGACAGAACCAATCATCACGCCCGAAAAAATACTGAGCCACCGGGTACATGACCCACGGGGAGCCCGCAGAATCGAATTCCTGATCCGCTGGAAAGACTGCACGCCCACCGAAGACAACTGGGTTCCCCTGGATAGAATTGAGAATCACCCTGTCCTCACTGAGTATCTGCGCAGTCGGAATTTTCGAGATGTACACGCACTCTCGTAAAGAGGGCCTCCTTGGAAAGGGGGGTAGTGTAAGGAAAAATAATTTTCCTTACTTCGCGCCCCTGCTTACCGCGTACAAGACCATTCCCGCCACCGGCACCCAAACAATGAAACGTTACCCGCTCGCGACACTCGCATCGACTACGACTCTCGCCACTGTTCACGACGAGACCCAACCTCACGGTTCGGTTGGTAACCCGCGATCCGGACCTCCGCCTCGACATATCCCAACCTCGGCGCTAGGCCCGTAGTGCACCCCAATTCCTCGCGTTACGGTTACCCCTCTAGTTCGCTATATATTCTTCTCACATGCCTTCTCTCATTGTATTGTTTTGCTTCGATAGTGCAATTCTCGCTCACTCGCTCAATTGCACTCATAACAACTGACGTGTCAGACTTTCCCTAGTGCAAGGAGCGACCAATAAACACACGGATCCGCAGCCGAACAACAATTCTACTGCTTTTCCCTCGATCATTACGTCACAGGGATGATCGCAGTCAACGGTGCTCTTTCCACCTGTCAATCTGCTGTGCGCGTCTTCTACCTGCCTCGCCGCTTTCTCTTCCGGGCTCCCGCCGCTGCCTGCTCGTGCATTTCCGCCGTAGGAGGAGAAGCAGGGTCTTCTGAGACAATGCTGTCTCTTACGTCTGCCGTAACCCGTTCCTGCACCCCTCCTTGGAGCGGGCTCGTTGTGTCTCCAAGGCTCAATGCGATGGACGTCCGATCGTTAGCTTGGTCGCCTGTTGCACCTCTTGCATTGTTACCACAGTCGCGAAACCGCTCGTCGCTTGTGACCACGCCAGCAGTCCGCGTCGCAGCACCCATACCGGCGTCGCTGAGCCGCCTCTGGGGTCAGCAGAAATCGCGGGTGCTATGTTCCGCGAGTTCTGCTGCTGCTGAGGGTGATGGTGCATCTGAGGCGTCCGTTGCGGTTGCCGTGGCACAAGCCGAGCCTGCTCAGGAACAGAAGCAATCACAGGCGCAGCAGGAGAGGAACACGGAGGTGAATCAGCAGCAGCAGCAGCAGAAGCAGAAACAAAAGAAGCAGAAGCAACCACAACAGCAGCAGCAGGGGAAAGGGAAGGGAGGAGGCAAGGGTCAGAAAGGCGACGGCGAGAATTTCTCATCGAAGGAGGCGGTCCGTGGACTGCGCGTAGCTAAGGTAGGGTGCTGACGTGCTGCTGCTGCTGTTTTAGCCAGGGTGACGTGAGCCAATCGGACACTGACGCGAAGACGTTAATCCAGATGGCACATTCCGAAGTTGTCAGGCTTAAACCCTGAAACCCGGTCAGCTACCAGTTGGTTTTCTGCGTGCCTTAACGCCCTCCGCGGGACGCTAGGCGTACGATCACACTTCGTCCACTTTTTTAGCTCCTCCACACTCCTCGACCTCCCTCTTTCCCCCCCTCTCCCCCTCCTCCCCCCCCATCCCCTCCCCTCCCCCGCCCCACACAACCCCAACACCACCACCGTTTCCTCTTCCCATCGCCTCCACCTTCTCTCCTCCCACGCCCACAACCCCCCTTCATTATCCCACCCTGCTCCACCCGGCTCTCTCATTCGGTCCCTTCCCTCCCCACAGACTGTTTCAAAGCCGTCCCAGTACGCATGCTGCTAGCAATCCCTCCGCACTCCGTTAGACCTTCCCCATCTCCCCACCTACACTCCCCTTCACATCCCCCCCTCTATCTCCACAGCCCCCCTCGTAACACATAACATACCCCCTCAACCCCCCACTCCCCCTCCCCTGCTCCCCCTTTCTCCCCCCCGCGCGCCCTCAGGTGGAGGCCCTGCGCGCGGAGGGGCGCAACCCCTTCGCGTACACCTTCCCCCGCACGCACAGGGCGGCGGAGCTACAGGAGCGCTTCAGGGGGCTGGGGAGCGGGGAGCAGGCGGAGGGCGGGGAGGTGGTGGCGGTGGCGGGGCGCGTGGTGGCGCGGAGGGTGATGGGGAAGCTGGCGTTCCTGACGCTGAGGGACGAGGAGACGAGCATCCAGGTGTGCGCTCTTCTAAAGTGAATCTTGAGGCAACTTTTGAGTCCAACTCAGAAGATGGCGTTCCTCGTGTTGAGAGACAATGAGACGGCCATCCACTCCACATACGGAAAAGACTGGTTTGAGGCCCCTCAATTGTACCTCACTGTACCTCACTGTACTTTCCTCCATACCCCCGGCGCGCGCGCGCATTTCTCCTGCCGCCAGCTGTACTGTGAGAAGGCAGTGATGGAGGGCGAGGAAGAGGGGTCGTTCGCGTTCCTCAAAAGCAATCTGGACGTGGGAGACATTGTGGGGGCCACTGCACCGCGTTATACCTCTCTGTACTCCTCCCCCATACCCCGATTGCAGCTATACTGCGAGAAGGCAGTGATGGAGGACTCAGAAGAGGGATCCTTTGCGTTCCTGAAGACCACTCTGGACGTGGGGGACATTGTGGGGGCTACTGGCACCATCAAGCGAACCGAGCGAGGTGGGTGGGACTCACAAACAAGTGGGAGGAAGGGAGGTGGTTGAAGGGAATGTGTTTTTGTTAGTCGCCTCTTAGCTGTCTCAAGAGCACTCTGGACGTGGGGGACATTGTGGGGGCCACCGGCACCATCAAGCGCACGGAGCGAGGTGAGTCACTCACGAGCTGAGAGAGAAAGAGCGATGTGGTTGACTTGTAGGGACGGTCTGTTTGTTACTCTCCTCCATGGCACGCTCAAGAGCACTCTGGACGTGGGGGACATTGTGGGGGCTAGGCTATTGGCACCATCAAGCGCACTGAGCGAGGTGTGGGACTCATAGGCTGGAGGAAAGAGGTAAAGGTGAGGATGGATGCTGGGAGTGCAAGGTGGGTGTGAAGCTCACACTGTGATCAGAGTGCTCTTGAGTGTTCCTTGCTGGGGTGCGCCAGTAGCAAACTCAAGAGCACTCTGAACGAGGGTGGGGAGTGGGGGCATTGTGGGGCCTGCTGGGTGGCAGGCACCATCAAACGCACTGAGCGAGGTGACAGTGACTCACATACAAGTGGAGGGAGGGGGGTGGTTGAAAGGAACATGTATTTGTTACTCGTTACAATAGCATCATAGCAGACTCAAACGCACTCTAGACTGGACATGGGGGGTATCATGGATTGACTTGGTGCTCATGGCACGTTCCTTCTTTCTTCCTTGCCGCGTGGTATGGTACTCTGCGGTGCAGGGGAGTTGAGTGTGGTGGTGCAGGGCGTGCAGCTGCTGACCAAGTCGCTGCTGCCTCTGCCTGACAAGTGGCACGGACTGGCAGACGTGGAGATTCGCTACCGCCAAAGGTGCGTGCATAAGCCGAGGGGCGGAGGAGGGCGATGGGGGCAGTTTTGATGGTCTCAAGGGGTTGGTGGCGCCATTTGTTCGAACCACCAAGTGGCACGGGCTGGCAGACGTGGAGATTTGTTACCGCCAGAGGTGCGTGCGTGGGGGGGAAAGTGCTGAGAAGAAGGGCGCTGGGGTGGTCGGGTGGTGGTTGGGGGGGGGGGGGGGGGGGGGGGGGTTAGAAGGTTAATAAGAGAAGCATGCTCAGGGGCAAGTGGCACAGGCAGGCAGACCTGAGTTGATTGGGGAGGGGGGAGAGAGGGGTGGATGGGGGAAGGGCTGGGGGAGGCGCTTAGGAGCATGGGCAAGAGGGGCAAGGGTGCGGAATGGATTATGGGGGGTGAGGCGGAGGATTCTTGATACAGGCACCGAGCTTGTTGGGGTGGGCTGTTGTGAGGGAGGGATGATCAATCTGCCACCTGCTCCGTTCCTGCTGCACCTGCTCCGTTCCAGGCTGTTTCACCCTGCATTCTAAGCTCCCCGTATCAAGCTCTTCCCCCACCCTCCCCTGCTCCTCTGCGCTGCGCTGCCCTTCGGTTACCAAGTTGACCCAAACGCCCTACCATGCTTTTCCCCCCACCCCCCGCCCCCCGCCTCCCCTGCTCCCCCGTCCCCTTCCCACCCCCCTGCCATCCGTCGCTGTGCGATGTGCAGGTATCTGGATATGATTGTCAACCCCTCTGTGGCGTCCGTATTCAGAGCGAGGGCCAAGGTGGGATGCTTTTTTCAGTCGACTCAGAAACCAAGTGTATCGTCGAGCCGATTAAAAAATAAGCTGTGGAATCGGCTCGATACACTCGATACAACCCCTATTGAAGGAATCTGTGTGGTCAACCCAACCCAACCCAACCCAACCCCTCTGTCTATGGCGCTTGTCTTGTCCTGAGGGCGAGGGCTGTTTCGCAGCATAGGCCAGCCGTCTTTGATGGAGGATAACAGAGTCAGCCTAGCCTTCCCCGTCAAACTCTCACACCTTCTGTTCTTGCACCTGCTGCATGTGCGCCGCACTGCATGGCTGCGATGCATGGCTGCGATGCATGGCTGCGATGCATGGCAACAGGTGATCAAGGCCATTCGGCAGCACATGGAAGACAACTGCTTCGTTGAGATCGAGACGCCTGTGCTGCAGGTGCGTGCCTGCTGTCCCTGCTGCCCCTGCTGCTTTCCTGTGTGTATGTGTATCGGGAGAGAGGGAGACGGGGGAAACGGGGAGTGTGTTTGTGTGTGCATGCGTATCTTCGTGTGTGTGTGCATGCATGCATGCACTAATCAGAACATGAATTACATTTGCACATGTATCCTTGACACACTCTTTCAACCTTCCCCTCTCCTCCCCTATCCTTATTTCTCCCTCCCTTCTTTCTCCTCCCCTCGCCTCCCCTCTCTCCCCTCCCCTCCCTTGCACCCAAGGCAGGGCGAGGCAGGAGGAGCGGAGGCGAGGCCATTCATAACGCACCACAACGCACTGCAACAGGACATGTTCCTGCGCATTGCCACAGAGCTGCACCTCAAGCGCATGCTGGTGGGTTCAAGCTTGAATGCTGCCCCTTCTTTGGTGCAATACGGTGCAATGCGGTGTGCTGCGTGTGCTGTGCTGCGCCAGGACATGTTCCTGCACATTGCCACAGAGCTGCACCTCAAACGCATGCTGGTGGGTTCAAGCTTGAATGCTGCCCCTTCTTTGGTGCAATACGGTGCAATGCGGTGTGCTACGTGTGCTGTGCTGCGCCAGGACATGTTCCTGCACATTGCCACAGAGCTGCACCTCAAGCGCATGCTGGTGGGTTCAAGCTTGAATGCTGCCCCTTCTTTGGTGCAATACGGTGCAATGCGGTGTGCTGCGTGTGCTGTGCTGCGCCAGGACATGTTCCTGCACATTGCCACAGAGCTGCACCTCAAGCGCATGCTGGTGGGTTCAAGCTTGAATGCTGCCCCTTCTTTGGTGCAATACGGTGCAATGCGGTGTGCTGCGTGTGCTGTGCTGCGCCAGGACATGTTCCTGCACATTGCCACAGAGCTGCACCTCAAGCGCATGCTGGTGGGTTCAAGCTTGAATGCTGCCCCTTCTTTGGTGCAATACGGTGCAATGCGGTGTGCTGCGTGTGCTGTGCTGCGCCAGGACATGTTCCTGCACATTGCCACAGAGCTGCACCTCAAGCGCATGCTGGTGGGTTCAAGCTTGAATGCTGCCCCTTCTTTGGTGCAATACGGTGCAATGCGGTGTGCTGCGTGTGCTGTGCTGCGCCAGGACATGTTCCTGCACATTGCCACAGAGCTGCACCTCAAGCGCATGCTGGTGGGTTCAAGCTTGAATGCTGCCCCTTCTTTGGTGCAATACGGTGCAATGCGGTGTGCTGCGTGTGCTGTGCTGCGCCAGGACATGTTCCTGCACATTGCCACAGAGCTGCACCTCACGCGCATGCTGGTGGGTTCAAGCTTGAATGCTGCCCCTTCTTTGGTGCAATACGGTGCAATGCGGTGTGCTGCGTGTGCTGTGCTGCGCCAGGACATGTTCCTGCACATTGCCACAGAGCTGCACCTCAAGCGCATGCTGGTGGGTTCAAGCTTGAATGCTGCCCCTTCTTTGGTGCAATACGGTGCAATGCGGTGTGCTGCGTGTGCTGTGCTGCGCCAGGACATGTTCCTGCACATTGCCACAGAGCTGCACCTCACGCGCATGCTGGTGGGTTGAGTGGGGCTCCTGCTGTGCTTTGTGCTGTGTCGTCCTCTGCTGCTGCTTATGGTTCATCCTGGGTCAGAGCGTATGGCCTGGCCATACACATAACACATATATGCTCCTTGTTTGGATAGTGATACCTCTGCCTCTGCCTCTCCCTCTCCCTCTCTCTGCCTGAGTGCAAGCAGGTGGGGGGCTTTGACAGGGTGTACGAGATAGGCCGCATATTCCGCAACGAGGGCATATCCACACGCCATAACCCCGAGTTCACCTCCATTGAGGTATGCTCGCTCTCTCTTCGCCGCACAGCAACACTACCCTCTCCTTGCCTGCTCCCTCGTTCCCTCACCTGCTCACTCACGCAACGAGGGCATATCCACACGCCACAACCCCGAGTTCGCCTCCATTGAGGTACGCACACACACACAACACTCCCCTCTCTTTGCTTGCCCTCTCCTGGATGCCCTGAATATTCCGCTGCCCCCTCGTTCTCTCACCTGTTCACCCCCTCGCCCCCTCGTTGCCCGCCTACTCTTCTCTCCTCCCACCACCAGCTGTACCAGAGCTACGCGGACTACAGAGACATGATGGCACTGTGCGAGGAAATGGTTGAAAGCGCAGTGACGTCTCTCCACAGCACCGCCACCATGCCCTACCAGGGCACGCCCATCCACCCCATCCACTGGGCTCGCCCCTGGCACACTTGGCACCCCTGACGCCCCTGGCAAGGCAAACCTTGTCCTCTTGTCCACTTGTCCCCTCTTCCGCTCACCCCTTCATCCCTTCACCGCCGCACCCCCCTCCCCCATTCCCCCTCGCCCTCGCAGCTCTACCAGAGCTACGCGGACTACAGCGACATGATGGCCCTCTGTGAAGCCATGATCGAAGGCGCAGTTCTTGCATTGCACGGCACCACCACGGTGCCCTACCAGGGCACGCCCATCCACTGGGCGCGCCCCTGGCGCCGGGCTTCCATGGACTCGCTCGTTCTGCAGGCCACTGGGGTGGATTTCCTGTCTGCTGAGCTTGCGGGTGACCTTGCTGCGGCTAAGGAGGCGGCTGTTCGCGCTGTCAGGGAGGCTGGGTCGAGTGCGGGGGGTGTGAACGAGGGTGATGGTGCTGCTGCTGATGGTGCTGCTGATGGTGATGGGGCCGCAAGCAGCAGCAGCGGCAGCAAGGTGAATCGCAAGGCGGTGGCAGCAGCGGTGCGAAAGATAGAGGAGGCGGGGAGTGTTGGAGCAGTGCTCAATTGTGTGTTTGAGGCAGTGGTGGAGAGCACGCTGGTGCAGCCCACCTTTGTTATGGATCACCCTGTCGAGGTCTCTCCCCTGGCCAAGCCCCACAGAAGGTAAGTGAGGGTCGAGGAGGCGGGGAGTGTGGGAGCAGTGCTCAACTGTGTGCTCCAGGCAGTGGTGGAGAGCACGCTGGTGCAGCCCACCTTTGTGACAGACCACCCCGTCGAGGTCTCCCCCCTCGCCAAGCCCCACAGAAGGTGAGCCAAGTCCCACCAGACGTATGTGAGAGTCACATTAGAGGTGAGTTCTCTAAGTGGTGTGAGACTTCCCTGTCAATATCGGATCAGTCTCAAAAGCCCCTCAGTTGCTACTTGTTCCCTCCCCACCCTCCTGCCACCCCCCTGTGATCCCCGATTCCCTGTCAGCTGGCCTGGGTTGACAGAACCAGTTTGATTTGATGCATGAGTTCCTCCATCCCGTCCTTCTTCCCAACCTCCTTGCAACCCCCACTGTGCCCCCTCGTTCCCTGTCAGCCGGCCTGGGTTGACAGAGCGCTTTGAGCTCTTTGTGTACGGCCGAGAGCTCGCCAATGCCTTCTCCGAACTCACTGACCCTCTGGATCAGGTGAGATGCATTGCGGTGACGTGCTTTTGTGGGGGTAGGCTCCAGTCCAAGCATGTTGCGGGGTGTCCTTAGCTCCTCTGCCCGCGTATATATTAGGCCCTGTTTTTTTTTTTTTTTTTTTTTTTTTTTTTTTTTTCTAAAGCGCATTCTTCATTGTTGAACTCTTTCCTTTCTGCTTTCTCTCACTTCCAACCTCCCCATACCCACCACACACACACACACACACATGTGCAGAGGGCTCGCTTGGAGGAGCAAGTGAAAAAGCACGCAGGCAAGATGGCCAGAGCCGAATCTGCTGCGGCAGCAGCTGCTGCTGCTGGTGCTGGTGACAAGCAGGAGCAAGGGGCGAAGGGCAAGGGTGCAGCGGATGAGGAGGAGGATGAGGAGGCGTATGAGGTGCGGCTGGATGAGGACTTTCTCACAGCGCTGGAGTATGGCATGCCTCCCACAGCCGGCATGGTGAGTGCAGTGCTGTTTTTTTAGTCGACTCAAAGCTCGACTTAGCACAGGAGGAGGAGGAGGAGGAGGCGTATGAGGTGCGGCTGGATGAGGACTTTCTCACAGCGCTGGAGTATGCATGCCCCCCACCGCCGGCATGGTGAGTGCAGTGCTGTGCAGCTTCATTTCACGTGCAGTTTTGTTTCAAGTGCGGACTTGTTAGGAGTGCAGTTTCCTTTTCAAGTGCTGACTTGTTAGGAGTGCAGTTTCCTTTTCAAGTGCGGACTTGTTAGGAGTGCAGTTTCCTTTTCAAGTGCGGACTTGTTAGGAGTGCAGTTTCCTTTTCAAGTGCGGACTTGTTAGGAGTGCAGTTTCCTTTTCAAGTGCGGACTTGTTGGGTCCGTTTCTTGCTGTGAGTGGGTGTGCATGGTCAAGAGATTCGGCAAGTGTTGGCATCGTCTTGACTAGGTGAGTGGTGTAATGGGGCGTGGTTAGATCACCCCATTGCCAGGACATGCATTGTCTCGTCGTATCGTATGGGTGTGGCATGACCTCAATATGGAACCAGACAAACATGGATGCTCTGTCTCATGTCCACAATCCCACTTTGTACCACGCTCCTTTTAATTTCCTCCCACGCTCCTTTCATGTCGAAACCCGGAATTTGATGTGTTTCCTCTACTAAAATTCCTGCATGGCTCTTTATCATGTGTTGCTTCCCCTCCCATGATGTGTTCAGGGCATTGGCATTGATCGCCTGGTGATGTTTCTGACTGACAGCCCCAGCATTCGGGACGTGATAGCATTCCCAGTCCTCAGGGCACTCCCTTCTGAGCCCAATGCAGCGTCATCTTCATGACAGGGTGCTGATGGCAATACTTCACATCATAGCTGGCCTTGTGGCGTTCGGGGTACTACAAAGACAGTAACCTTGTGGTTTCAAGATCTACATTTTAAACCACTTTTGTTGGAATTCCTAGTACGGTGAAATTATGACAATAAGGCAGCTTGTATCGAGGTTCCTTCTTATGTGGGAAGGCAGCCCCTGCTGCATCTGTTGGATCCTGCGTGGCATCTGCCAGTTCTAAAAGCGTGTCTGCTTTACCACGTGACGGCTTCTAATTCGCTGTCAAGGATTCAGATCCTTACCAGCCTCAAATCATGGAACATGCGAGACTGGCCGCGATTCGGCGAATTAGACACAACCATGTTATAGATGAAAGGACTCTTCTGATTGGTGCTCATCTTTCTATACTGATTTCGTTCGCGGCTTCTATTGGCAAGAAGCTCAATCCCAGCCCATCGATGAAAGACCTCCACTAGCGAGGGCCAATGTCGCACAGCTCGAAGCTTCGAAAATGCGATGCCCATTCCGCACAGGACGAAGATCTCGAAAGAGCGATTCGGGCTCTGCAAATTTAGCGAAGACAAGGTCGTACATGCGACACATCAGCATCTCGCCAGTAACCCTATGCCTGTCTATGGTTGAGTGAGCACACACCTCCTGACTCCGCGAAGTTCAGGGAGCACAAATCGCCCCTCAATCGCTGACTTCCACCTTGAAGACTTGAGAGCCCTCCAACCTATTTCCAGTCCAAAAGGTTTCAGCTGTCAGTTTGTTCCATACTCCAGATAACGCTTTCTTGAACTAGTACCGTTTGACCCCTCCTTCCCCAACATGGGCATCCCCTTTCAGCCATTCCAAGACCCGACCGTTCCCGTTCCTAGTACGGAGCTTCCCCGCGTCCGTGACACCGCATTCATTACTTCGAGTCGAAGTCTGATGAACGTTCACGACGAGCATTCGGCACGCCCAATCTCACTCTCCGCGTCGAATCTCTCTACGCACGTTTCTGTGCGACTCCTGAGCGACGGCGGCGCGGAGCAGCTGTTCAAGATGCGCCGCTCGGCGCGCTTGGCATTCCTGCTCGACCTCTACTGCCAGCGGCGCAGCGCGGAGCGCGCGTCGGTGCAGCTGTGGTTCAACGGGCGGCTCGTGGACGAATTCGCGACGCCGGATGATCTGCGCATGGGGGTCTCGGACTCGGTTCGAGTGGTGGAGTGCTACTGACCATCCCACGACCGCGGCGGACGCCACCGCCGCCGCTGCCGCCGCTGATGCTGCTGCGGCTGCTTGTTGTTTCGGCTAACAGTACATCGCGCTGGGGCTGGGAGCCAGTGAGACTGATAAAGCGGCGCTTCAGCCACGGTAAAGCGCCTGTCACAACTGGAGCTTTCCACACTTGCGCAGATTTTGAGCGCGTTTTGAGAATTTTCAAACGTGCTTCTCCGCGGCAGCTTAACACAAGATGCGCGTCAGGAAAGACCCAAGACTCGCGCGGAATGCAAGCCTTATCGGCGGTGCAGCTCGAACATTGGAGGACCAAGCTCGGTTGGTCCAAGTGTGGCTTTCTCTGGCTCCTGCAGCATTGACGTTTCGCGAGTCGCAGCAAAGACAGCATCTTCGGACTCCCCAGTTTCCAGTGATTGAAGGGACGTCTGAACCAATCTGTAGGGAAATGCATACGGTAGTCTCTATACCATCAGTACCCTTGTGTTGCATTTTGAGCTGTGCTGCTGTCCTGGGCTCTGAGGGGCAAACTCTTCTGCCACTCGCTACACCTTTTGGATGTACCGTATGTCCTCTTTGTTCAGTAGAAGTACTCTCCTAATTTTATTGCACTGGGTCTTGAACAGCCCCTTCCTCACTTCATAGGCGATTGACACCGGGAATAGCGGTGGATGCTTTGAGGGGAAAATGGGAGGGATTCTATGAAATGTGAGGAGAGCTATTGGTGGAAAGATACAGCCAAGGAAGAATGGCCCAGGTATATTGCTAATCTGATATTATATATATATATATATATATATATATATATATATATATATATATATATATTATGAGGGAAGCAATTGTGTGCTCCGTCTGAGTGTACTACCTTATCTGTTATAATAATATCAACAGTTTTGTACCAAACCCCAATGTTCGGATCTTTGTAAATACGCTGTATGTAGCGAGACTTTGACTCCTTTGACCTCTGAATGTGGCTCGTTACAAAGCAACTCAGCGCTTGACTTTGATGCGACGCGAACGATCATGCGACAGGGTCATTCACGACTCACTGAGGCCACAAGCGACGAAGTGGGCGAACGACAAGGAAGTCTCTTTTTCTTCACTTCCCCAAACATCTTTCTGCCGCCATGCGACCACTAGGTCGTAGTTAGGAAACCATGAGGATAACGAAATCGTCCATGGTTTCCTTCTTCTAGATTGCTTCATTTCTCTAGGCCGTTACGTTTGTCTTTCGTTCGTTACGTGATTCGGCCGGATCTGAGATCGTAGATGCGAGCTGTATGAAAGAACAGCCAAGGCGGCCCACCCCAGATTACGTGATTAATCCATGATGGATTGCCTGCAGCGCTCCCGCCGTTTCCCGCCGCCGCCGCCGCCGCTGCCTCATCAGCAGCAGCAGTTTCCGTGGCTCACGCTTCTCAGAGGCTTTAGTACAAACTCACACCGCTTCCCCCGACGGCATGATCCGCGGTTCACGCCGCTCGGCGCGCCGTTCCTCGCGGCGGTTGCCGTCATTGCGATCATCTCGGACGAACGATGGCCCGCGGGGGATCATCCGACGGCTGTGATGCTCGCACAGGCGGAGTTAATCTCCGGCATGTCTCTCCCGAACGGAGGCCTTGAACACTCCATGTCGCTTCTACGGGTGAGTGTGCGCCTCAAGTGCGCAATGAATTTCGAGTACGCCATGTCGGTTCTACGGGTGAGTTTGCTGCTGGAGTGCATTCTGAGGCGCCTCAAAGATAGTTTGCTGATCATGTGCGCAATGAATTTCGAGTACGCCATGTCGCTTCTACGGATGGGCCTCAAAACTCGTCCCTTTCCCGCCCTCTCTCCCCTTTTCCCGCCCTCTCTCCCCCCTCTCCCTTCCCCTCCCCACATCCGTGTAATTCTTTCTTGCGCATTCCCTCCCCTCCTCGACCTCCGTATCGCACGCTCTCGCTTCACCAAGCACCTTGCGCTCTCGCTCTCGTACATCCAATTCACACCTATCTCGCCACTCATATCCCATCTGCTCTCCCCCCCTTTCCGTCTTCCCCACCTCCCCCCTCCCCCACCCTTCCCTTCCCGCCCTCCTGCCCCTCTCCCATGCCCCGTTTCTCCTCGCCTCTCCCATTTCCTTCCCTACCCCCCCACGCCCCCCCCCACGTCCCCCTCGCGCCAGAGCTGGGAAACCTTATACGGTCTGTCCGCGGACTCCCCCCTTCCGCCTTCCGCCATCGCTCTTCCGCCCAGCATCCCCCCTCCCCCGCACCTGGAGCCCTGCTCCGCGCGCACAGCCGTCCGCCAGGCTGCTGAGCGCAGGGTTGAGGGCGGAGCTCTCCCCCCATGGGCGCAGGATAATGCTGCATGCGGAAATGTCCCCCAACCGCCCTGGGTGAGTGGAGGGGGAGGGGATGGTCGGTGATGGGGGGGAAGGAAGGGGGGGTTGGAAGATAATTGTACACTGTATGTATGCACCATGCCAACGCACACGCCAACACGCCAACCCCCCCAACCCCCGCCCCCCCTCCCTGCTTCCAAGATCAGGTGCGAGGGTCAGATTCATCGAACCTGGCCTCCACTCGAGTGGCCCAGAGAGACATCTGGGCGCACCAGTTCCCCCCACCCTCCCCGCTGCCTCCTCACGCTACTGCTCCTGCTTCGGCTGGTGATGGCGCTGCTGCTGCTGATACGGATGATGCTGCAGCAGCTGCTGCAGCTTGTGAGGGGAAGAGGTTTCTGCTGGTACAATGGCCGGAGGACACAAAGAGCACTAGCAACAGCAGCAGCACCACCACCGGCAGCAGCAGCAACAGCAGCAGCGAGGGGAGTAGTGGCAGGGGTTGGTCCCACGAGTCCTTGGCAGGTCAGTCAGCTGCATGGCGTGGCATGGGCGTGGTGCATCTGTTGATCCTGTCGCTCAAGTGTCTATTTCTCAAGTGCTGCCTGCCCTGAGCGACACTCGTGTCTAATATGAGCCAAGAATCCCCCCCCCCTGGGCAGGGCAGCTGCAGGGCATGAGTGTGGCGCTACGTGTGGCCTTCACGAGTGGTCGAGTGCTCGTGCCCATGCCAGGCACCTTCCAGCCAGCCCGCCACCCGCACTGCCAAGGTGAGGTGACTTCTGAGTCGACTCAAAAGGCGCTGTGGCCGTCACCAGTGGCCGTGTGCTCGTGCTTGTGCCAGGAACCTTCCAGCCAGCCCACCACCCGCACTGCCAAGGTGCCTCTCCCCGCACACTCCCCTTCCCTCCCGTCCTTTGCTTCTCTTGGGCAAGGGCTCTTCAGGTCCGTCTGGCCTTGTATACGTGTGGTCTGTGTCGCCCCCATCCCGCACTGCATCGACCATGCAGTGCTGCAAAGCCCGCTTCCCCTTCCCTGCCTTGCAAAGCAGCAGCAGCGCTACTCCATATGCTTCGATACACAGCTGCCCGTTTCCCTCCTGTGTCTCCTTATCTCACTCCTCTCTCTCCTCCCTCTGCCCAGCACCACATGCATCCGTGTCACTCACTAACATTCGAGCCAAGAGGCCTTTCAAGGTGGCTTTTGAGTCAACTCAAAAGTCACCCCGGATCTTTCTCCTCTCACTCCTCTCTCTCCTCCCTCTTTCCAGCACTACATGCATCCGTGTCACTCACTAACGTTCGAGCCAAGAGGCCTTTCATGTCTGAAAATTTCTCCTTGCCCCCCTCCCCCTCTCTCTCCCTGTCTGTCTCTCACCAGCGCTGAATGCATCCGGGTCGCTCAACTGCTACTTCTTCCGCCCAGTCGTGTTTTGATTCGACTCAAAACACTCCCTCTCTCCTCCTCTCTCTCCCTGTCTGTCTCTCACCAGCGCTCAATGCATCCGGGTCGCTCCACTGCTACTTCTTCCGCCCAGTCGTGTTTTGAGTCGACTCAAAACACTCCCTCTCTCCCCCCCTCTCTCTCCCTGTCTGTCTCTCTCACCAGCGCTCAATGCATCTGGGTCGCTCCACTGCTACTTCTTCCGCCCAGTTTCCCACGCGTGCGAGGCATCAGCCATGCAGCATTACACCACTAGCACTGCCGGCGCCCCTCCCTGCAAGCCCCTCGCGCACCTCACAGCGCAGCAGCTGGGGTCAAACGAGACTCTCATCTGTGCCGTGGCAAGCAGTGATGCCTCGTACCCTGCCTCAGCAAATGCTTCCAGGTTCTCTGCTCCACCAAATGCTTTCATTCGTGCAGCAGCCATTTTGTTTGCTTGTTCGTACCCTGTTTCTCTAAATGCCTCCAGGTGCCTTGAGTGTTCTTCTTGATTCTTCATTTGTTTCTTCTGTTCTGCTTGATTCGTCTAACTTGAGTCCTGCAGCCATTTTGGCAGTAGGCCTGCAGTGTTGCAATTCAGCTGTAGTTCCTTTCCTCCCTCTCTTCCATCTCCTCCCACTGTTGCCCTGCCGCTGCTTCCTCCTGACTTACCCCTGTCGTGCGTCCCTCCCCCTGCCGCCCGTCCCTCCTTCCCTCGTGCATGGGCAGTGAGAGAGCATGGAGCGAAGCGTTCATGCGGCGGCCTTTCCTGGTGGAGCGTCAAGGGGCACTTCTCAACATCTCACACACACAACTGCAGGTTCTGTCCCCCCCCTTGCCGTTTCCTGCCGATGCCTGTGCCCATGCTCGTGCCCATGCTCATGCTCATGCTCGTGCCAACGCTCAGGCTCTGCACTTTCTCCCCCCACACCCCATAACCTCCCTCACTCCCTCCCCTCACTCCCCCCTCACTCCCCTCTCACCCCCTCCTCATTCCCTCAGGCGCACTGGTGGCACTCCCAGGCTCTGCGCTTCCTCCTGCGCTGGCCCTCCCCCTCCTTCTGCCGCACCCTCAGCCACCACCGCAGCTCTGCTCCTTCCTCTCCCCCCCTTCCCTCGCCCCCCTCTCTCCGTCAGGCGCACTGGTGGACAGCCCAGGCTCTCCGCTTCCTCCTGCGCTGGCCCTCCCCCTCCCTATGCCACACCCTCAACCGCCACCGCAGCTCTGCCCTCGGCCCGCACATCGCCTCCCTCTCCTCCTCCCTCTGCAGCCCCACCCACACCCATGTCTCACGCACACCCTCTCCCCACCTGACACCTTCCTTTAGCCGACTGGTGGCCCCCAAGCTCTGTGTTTCTTCCTCCATTTTTTGCTCCGTCTTTCTGTGTCCTCTTCAGGCGCACTGGTGGACAGCCCAGGCTCTCCGCTTCCTCCTGCGCTGGCCCTCCCCCTCCCTCTGCCACGCCCTCAACCGCCACCGCAGCTCTGCTCTCGGCCCGCACATCGCCTCCCTCTCCTCCGCCTTTCTCACAGAGCAGCACGCCATCGTGACCTCCCTCTTAAAGCCCAAGTCCGAGGCGGACCAAGGCCTAGGCCTCGACCTTCGCAGCGAGGGTAAGATGCTCAAGAGATTGAATCTTTCCACGCACCGGAATCTGGAAACGGACGCGTGGCCGAGCCTGGGGTTTTCTGGGTGTTTACCCCGGAGAAATCGGGGTAAAGTGGTTGAGAAGTCGTCGCCACTGACGGTGTATCAGAGCGTGGGGAGAGAGGCATACCTGCTGCGGCCAATCGTGAGCATACACTTGGCAGAGGAGGGGAAGCAGGGGGGACAGGGACAGCAAGGTCAGCAGGGGGGACAGGGGGAGCAAGGGCAGCAGGAGAAGCAGGGACAGGAGCAACAGCAAGGGCAGGCGATACAGGAGGGGCAGGAGGGCAAGGAAGCGGGTAATAGTACAACAGCAGAGACTGGCAGCAGTAGCAGCAGTAGCAGCAATGCATCACAACTGTCAGTGCCGCTTGTATCCGCTCTGCTGCCGTCGTACCAGCTGAGAAGGCGGGAACCTGGCCTCAAATACGTGTGGCTGTCCACCGACCAAACAGCAGCCACAACATTTTCACCAAACCACCTCTCTCGCTTCGCCGACTGGACCTTCCTCTATCCCAAGCCGCCCTCCGACCCCTCTTCCTCTCCGGCACACTACGATTCCGTGGGTGCGGCTTTTGGCGACCTGCTTGTTGCGTCGGAGAGTGATTTTTTTGTTGGGGATGTTGGTAGCAGGTGGAGTAGGCTGATCTACGGGCTCAAGTGCACTAATGGCCGCCTTTACGCTGGTTTTTTGTCTGTCTAGTGGCGATGTTCCTGCAGCTTCGTACGTATACTTATAAGCTATCATCGCTAACTAAAAGCATCTGCAGGGTGACGTTCAATGCCCCAAAGGTGCGCCATGAAAGCAATTATATCAAACAGTCTCACTCAACTCGTGGCACCGTGCAAAGCCAGTGACTGCGTGTGTGTGTGTGTTTGGTCTGTTGTGCGCCCGTGGACTGTACATTCTGTTTGATGAGAGGCAGCCATCTTAAGAAGTGGTCGGAATCAGGGCCCAAAATTGGTATAGGCCCACCCTAACAAATCAGGGTTGCAGCTCCTCTTTACCCTGACCCGTTGTGTAAAATTTTCCATACCCTGTTTGCATCAGGGTAAATCAAGGATTTCGGCATGGTAGCCTTATTTGAGCAGGGTATTTATACAGATAGCATGATTCCAATACTACTATCTGTTACGTAATTTCTTCAGTATTAATAAGGTTGCACAAACATCACAACTACTCAGTGCCACCCCCACTGCCTACAACTTCCTCTACAAACTCTGAATCGCTAGCCCTGGAGGCGTCAAACTCCTGGGTGGATCGTCTGAGCTTCTCTCCTCGGAAGATGGCGACCACCTCGTACCAGTCGACATCATACCGCAGCAGAGAGCACCGCATCAGGTGCTCCAAGCTTGTGTCGCCAAGGCTGCCACGTCCCCAAGTCTTGATCAGGTTCTGCTTCGAGAAGCCCCGCTCGCATTCAACCGTGCTCAATGGCAGCACGGCGACTGACTGCCACATGCTCATGATGTTGGGGAAGGACACACGCCACGCATCGTCCCGCAGCATGTTCCCCAGCGCCTGATGAAACTCCTCGTTGTTGTGCTGGGAGAACATTGTGGATGTAAACATCCACAGTTCCTGGCCTGCCCTTTTGTAGTCGAACCCTGGCATGGGGCGGGTATGGGGTGTAAACTTGGGCGACGCGCGCATACACGGGTAGGAGTGGGGGGCATTAGTCCAACGAGCAGCGGTGAGCACCACGTGCACGTGTCACCAACGTGACAGACACTGCATACTCCTATTATGGCTTACCATGCAGCTTATGGTTGTGCAGCTTGTGAAGAAGGCCCAGCCACTTTTTGAAGGTCTCCACGCGCTTGCTGTCGTCAGACACGTACGAAGCTGTCCGAAACAGCTTCGTTCCTTCCAGCAGGTTCAGGTCGCGCATCCGCCACTCCAGCTCGGCGTCCACGGCACGCACAAACTTGATCGACAGCTCCACGCACGCCGTCACGTCGCCATCAGTTTCGTGTCCGGGCAGACGACGCTCGTGCAGCTCGTAGACAAAATGGACGGGATTCCCGTCCCCGTCTACACCCTCCGCGTTCATCTCTCTCTTATCCATTGCCTGATGCCTCTTAATGAATTATGGCAGCTGCATTTTATCCCCGCTGCCGAAGTGGTGGGCTGGGTCACGGAGGGAGTACCTGGTCTTCAGACGCATCCTTGTTTGCTCCACGATGTGTGCAACAAGGGTGACGTCAACCTGCATACAGGCACTACAAGCAGTCAGTACGTGGTCGTGCATAGTTGCGGGAACGAAGATGCATGTGGCAAAAGCTATTACATGGCGTTGCTTGTTGAGGGCGTTGAGTTCCCACAGCACATCCGCAAGAAAGCGGATGAGCCAGTGGAACTTGAACGAGGTAACCACCTCGTACAGCTCCTTCTTGTAGTCCTTCTGCACCACTACAGCTGCAGGGAGAACATCGAGCAGGCGCTGTACCGCTTCACCACGGGAGAGCCATCGGACCTCGTGGATCCCCTGCGCCTCCAAATTCGTATGGCAGAAGATGCGTTGCAGCTCGTGGAACTTTTGGTAGTGCACACTGCTACGGCCGATGTGTTCAGCGAAGGCGCGCACGACGTTGTCGATCATGCGAAGCTCAGGGACAGCATATGCGGCATCACTGGCAGCGAGTGCCTCCCTGTACATTATCACAGAAACACAATAACTTGTTAACAACTGCAACATATATAACAAACACTGCATCAATCAGACACAACACGTGCATACCTGTGGGCGATACAGTGTGTAGAGGCCAGGTGAGGAATGCGCATTCGTAGCCTTGTAACGACGCCCTTGTTCTTGCCGACCATCACGTTTGCACCATCGGAGGCGACGCTTGATATCTTTTGGAGGTCGACCCCGATCCCAGTGAGATACTACACGACAGCGGATGTGAGGGAGGCAACGTCAGCACGGTCAACAGTGATGAGAGTAAAAAACTCAGTAACCACAGATGTGCGCTTGAAGAAGGTAGCGTATAAGATCAGGTGCTTCCCATGCACCCGATCTGTGCTCTCGTCCAGGGAGATGCCTATCCACGTGGACTCGAGGAGGTGAAGGCGTTGTGTCTCTTGGAGATAAGTTGACAGGGCGCGCAAATTTTCCTTGAATCCGTAACTGCCAACGATAAGAGATAGAGTAAAAGTGAGTGGGTGCTTATCAATCAAATAGAGAGGTGCACAAACACCAGCCAGCACTTACTCAGTGTAGTATGAGCCGCATCTGCCGGATGGAGGGAGGTCTGGTAACCCTTCCTTCGCCAAAAACCAGCACAGTGGGACAAACATGGCGATGGGAGCGTTCGCCGTGCAGACGAAGAGCGCTATGTGGAGTAGACGGATGATGTGTCGCGTAGAAGAATCCGTGATCTGCCACCGTGTGAGAGTGGAGATCTCGAGCACCATCCCCCTTCGCCCCATACGATGTGTGCGCTAGCGGATCTCCGTGCTTAACACAAATGAAACACTTCAACGAAGGCCTGCCGTTAGACATGCGATGTACGCGTAACCATTTGAAACTACCTGCCCACTGAGAGTTAAAAGTCTTCTTTACCGATTCGTACTCAGCATCCGCCAAGGCGGTGGGAGGCTTGGGTTCGGCAGGAGGTGCAGGCCGTTTATGAGTAGACGCATTTCGGGGAGGTGGGGCGCCCCAGAGTGTCTGCTGCTTGTACATTGCTCCCACACACTATCACTTGTCGGGCGCGCTGCTGACCGTCGAGCGCGAAGCAGTTGGCGGCTTTGACGGGCCCTCGCCACCTCCGGGCACAATATCCAGGGAAGGGTGTGGCTCCCACGCATGGGGTGAGTCTAATGGCTGGAACGGATACACCGTTCCTACCTCACATTCTGGAGACGGTTCGCGAGGCGCCGGCGAGATAGGAACGGTGTAGTTTACATTAAGGCGTGGCAAAATTCCCAGCACTGAAAGGCCGTTTCTCGTGCTACCAGGTGGATCAGCCTCTCCAGCATGCATGTTTGACGAATGAGTTGAAAATGGACGAGAATGGAGAACAAGCGAGAGACCCCCTCGTTGAGCTCGAACCTCACATGGCCTCTTCAGGTCGGAGTCTCAGATAGCCAATAAGGCCACATGGCGAGGGGTGCGTTGGTAGTGGGCGTGGCGTGGTTTGGCTCGATGCAGGGGTGCGTTGGCAGTCCTGTGGGTAAGACAGCCAATCAGGCCACATGGCGATCCGCCGACCACATTTCACGGTTTCCCGCCTGTGGTCATCAGCGACAACGGTGCCAGTGTGAGAGTGGGACATTTTGGCTCCACAAGGAGAATGGGCTGATCCGCGTTAAAAATAGTTTCGGTAACAGGGTAGTCGTCACACAACCCTGATTCCGTCGGGCTAACTAAAAATCCAATCAGGGGAAAAAAAAAACCAACACTTTTTGGGTAAGGGTAAGAATCTTGGAAGCCTGATTTAGAAAGGGTAACTCTGAAAAAGCGGGCCGCCCCCAAGGGTAATCAGGATACTTTACCTTGATATTTTGGGCCCTGGTCGGAATAGAACGAGTCAGTGGGTGGAGGCCGTGCAGGGCTCTTGCTAGGATTTAGGCCTGTCTAGAAAAAAAAAAAAAAAAAAAAAAAAAAAAAAAAAAAAAAAACGTTTCGTCTGACGTTAAGATGGGCAATTTTTTTTTGTCTGAAATTTCAGACGAATGCTGAAGCTATGTCTGAATTTTCAGATGATTTGTTCTGGATGGTCTGATTCAGCCAATTACCTGTACTGTACACTATGTACATGTTGTTGTGAATACGCAGCCTGGTGGCGCCGACGGCCCGCTAGAACACAAGTCACGTGGCGAGAGGGACTGGGCTGGGAGAGGCGGGGGAGAGTTGGGCTGGAATTCGATACTTGGTCGGTATCAGCTGAAAATATACTCGATGTCTGAAATCTCTTACGAAGTATAACGTGTTGTCTTATTTTTCAGAGGAAATAAAAGTCTTCGTCTTACGGTTCAGATGAAAATAAAATGCTGGTCTCGAAAATCAGATGAAACGCAAAAAGTGGGTCTGATTTTCAGACCATCAGACCAATTTGGTATGATAACTAGAGCCCTGAGGCTGTGTAACTGGAACAGCCAGCAAGGGAAATGCACATACTGGTTGGTTCTTCAAGTACACATGGCCTTCAAATAATAAAAACTGGAATCAATGGTCAAGACTCAAGTGGCTGTTGCAATGTGTCCACCACGCCATGCTGTCAAACATATGTTCATATATGTTATAGTTTGGGTAGGCTTAGTGGGTTACTCACTGTGGGGTACAACCCCTTAGGTTTCTTCCTTGTATTAACTCTCTCGATAGTCGACTTTCACTTTAGCCTATGATTCTAACATGGTATAGAGCATAGGTCCTTAGGACCTACGATTAGGGCCCACCACGCTTGCCTGCCTAGTCTAGTGCCTACGCGCGCCTCGGCTGCCCGCGCGCCCGTTTCGGCCTTTTTTTTTTTTTCCAAGTGCGCCACTTCAGCAGCCCGCGCAGCCCGTTTCGGCCCCACCTATGCGCCCCTTAAGCAGCCCGCGCGCAACCGAGTTAGGCCACGCCAGCGCGGCCCGTCGCCCAGCGTAGCCCGTAGCTTCGCGACCAGCCCGCTGCCGTGCACGTACAGCCCGTAGCTTCGCGACTAGCCCGTAGCTTCGCGACCGGCCCGTAGCCCAACGCAGCTTGCAGCCGCGCACGCTGCCTGTCGCCACGTGCAGCCCGCATTTGCGAGCAGCCCGCAGCCCGCGCATTCCGTCGCCGCACGCAGCCTGCGGCCGCGCGCGCTGCCCATAGCCACGCGCTGCCTGCTGCCTGCCTGCTGCCTGCCTGCTGCTTGCTGCCTGCTGTCGCCTGCCTACTTGCTGCCTGCCTGCCGCCTGCCTCCCTGCCTGCTTACTGCCTGCTTGCTGCCTGCCTGCCGCCTGCCTACCTGCCTACTTGCTGCCTGCTGCCACCTGCCTGCAGCCTGCCTGCTGCCTGCCTGCTGCCTGCCTGTCTGCTTGCTGCCTGCCTGCCGCCTGCCTACCTGCCTGCTTGCTGCCTGCTGCCGCTTGCCTGCTGCCTGCCTGCTGCCTACCTGCTGCTTGCTGCCTGCTGCCGCCTGCCTGCTTACTGCCTAATGCCGCCTGCCTGCCGCCTGCCTACCTGCCTGCTTGCTGCCTGCTGCTGCTTGCCTGCAGCCTGCCTGCAGCCTGCCTGCTGCCTGCCTGCTGCCTGCCTGCTGCTTGCTGCCTGCTGCCGCCTGCCAGCTTACTGCCTACTGCCGCCTGCCTGCCGCCTGCCTACCTGCCTGCTTGCTGCCTAATGCCGCCTGCCTGCAGCCTGCCTGCTGTCTGCCTGCTGCCTGCCTGCTGCCTGCCTGCTGCCTGCCTGCTGCTTGCCTGCCTGCCTGCTTGCCTGCCTGCCTACTGCCGCCTGCCTGCTGTCTGCCTGCAGCCTGCCTGCTGCCTGCCTGTAGCCTGCCTGCTGCTTGCCTGCCTGCTTTCTGCCTGCTGCCTGCCTGCTGCTTGCCTGCCTGCCTGCTTGCCTGCCTGCCTACTGCCGCCTGCCTGCAGCCTGCCTGCTGTCTGCCTGCAGCCTGCCTGCTGCCTGCCTGCAGCCTGCCTGCTGCTTGCCTGCCTGCTTTCTGCCTGCTGCCTGCCTGCTGCCGCCTGCCTGCTTGCTGCCTGCTGCTGCCTGCCTGCCGCCTGCCTGCTGCCTGCTGCCTGCTGCCGCCTGCCTGCTGCTTGCTGCCCCTGCCTCCTGCCTCTGCCTCCTGCCTCCTACCTGGTGCCTGCTGCCTCTTGTCTGCTGCCTGCTGCCTCTGCCTGCTGCCTGCTGCCTGCTGCCTCCTGCCTTAAGCCAATATGGCGACGCCTAACGTTCTAGCGTTCGAGCCTGACGGTCGTCCCATCGAGTTCGCTGTGTGGTTAGACGATCTCCAGCTGTTCCTTCTGACTGATGCCAAAGAGGGCGTTTCCCTGTTTGATTACGTCTCTGGCACTGCCGTTACTCCTGCTGCTGATGCTCCTGCTCTAGAACGCTCCCAGTGGCAGACTCGTGATGCTGCTGCACGCCTAGCTATTAGGAACCACCTGCCGATTACTGAGCGAGCGCATTTCAGCCAGCACAGAACTGCTAAGACACTGTACGACGCTGTAGTTGCGCGCTACTCCTCCCCGGCCACTGCAGCCATAGGTCGACTCATGCTACCGTACCTGTTCCCCGATCTTTCCTCGTTCACCACTGCTGAGGACCTAGTTTCTCACCTGCGCGCTACTGACTCTCACTTTCGTGCCGCTCTTTCAGCCGAGTTCTGCCCCGCAAACCCCCCCCCGATGTACTTCACTCTCTATTTCCTCGTCACCCGCCTCCCTGACACTCTTAGCTCAGTCAGGGACCACTTCCTAGCGCTAGACCCCACCACTCTCGCTGTCGACGACTTCGAGAAGCACCTCCTCGCAGCAGAGAAGAACATCCTCGCTGTAGGTGCTGCTCGTGGCACTCCTCGCTCTCCCCTCTTTGAGGGGTGCTCCCCCTCCCCTCTCACCCCCTCCTACGCCTCCGCAGCTGCTGCTCACGACTACCTTGGTGCTGAGGGGGTCGGAGCTGCT